TACTCTCCTTGGTCTAGGTACTCGCAAATATAAAATTTTTTTTTCTTTCGAAACTTTTGATCTTTTTTTCGATAAAAAGTAGGAATTTGGCATACCCTCTCCAAAAGATTGGTATTATTTACTACTTCTATATCAGGAAACTATATGATGACGAAATAATACGTGTAAAATAGATAGTGCTAGTAAATATTAGTAACTGGCAGATTTTCCGATTGGAGATCTTATGTATCAGGTTATTCAGAGCATACAAATACATGAAGGAACTGATTGGGACATGTGAAGTTTAAAGTTTTTATACTTTCGAACAACGATATAGATTTAACTAAAAGAGTTAAGCAAAGTGTGATGAGATATACAAACATCTTGGAGTCACTTGTATATAATTTTTAGCCTCTGGCATGAGTTATAATGCATCTGTTTTTGTTTTTTTTTATGTCAATATTCTCGCAACAATGTAATATGAGTAGTTCGTTACTCTATATAGTTAGAAGTTTTTATCTGGTTAGCAGGTTTTCTTCTATCTAGTAATAGTTTCTTTTAGATTTTATTTTTGTTTTTAATCTTCTTTTATATTTGTACCCATTTTCGTATATGTATTTGTTTTTTTGTATACCTTCTTTCTTTATATTCTTTTTTTTTTCTTTTTTGTCTTTCTATGAGAAAGTATTATCAGATTGGCGGTACTCTATTGTAGGGCAGGAATTCTGATGAGGCTGGCTACACGCCAACTGTTGATTCTAGAAGAAATAAGTTTGATATAATCTTCGGATCTCTGGAGGAGGTCAAGTATAGCTTTGGTGAATCGCATCTAAGTATAATATAATAGTTAATAGTTCACCATTAACTTGTGTATGTAAAACTAGGTGAGGTTTATCTTTGGTTAAGATAGTATAACTATTATGATATATTGCTTTTGTATAATATATTAGTTTCTCCAAATAAAGTAAGCCAGATTGCCTAAAATAAAAAAAAAAAAAGTTTTAATTATAATAACTAGTAGTAATTATCATTAGCATATAATTAACTAATAACAAAAAACAAAAAAATTTATTTTATTTACTTTAGATTTAAAGTAAGACCTAAAATTTTAGCAAGATGTTAGATATATGTAAAATTTAACAAGAAATTTTTTTGTTAAAATATTAAAAGTGATTTCATAAATGAATTTTTGCATTTTTTTAAAAAAAATCCTATACAAATTAATTTATATATTACATCTGATCCTGCAAATTTATAGCTAATTATATGCTAGTAATGATCACTACTAGTTATAGTTAATAAAATTCTTTTTAAAAAATTTAAAATTTTTAAAAGATATTTTTTGAATATTTTTTTAATATTAGAAGTCAGGTTTTTGAATATTTTTTTAATATTAGGAGTCAGGTTTAGAGTTAGAGTTATTAATAAAAGAGCATATATAGATTTTATAAGCTTCAAAAGTAAGCAAAAGAGATATTTAATTTTATTTTAATCTAATTTTATTTTAATTTGTAACAAAGATTAATATGTAATTTTTTAAAATAGTTAATATTATTAATTAATCAAAACAACAAATTACTACTCACAATTGTTTTTATAAACTTAGTAATCTATATAGTCAAATTATCTTATATCACAGATTAGAGTTGATAAATTTATAACAATATACTGGTTATATGCTTTAAAATATCAAAAATTTATTTAAAATATTTTAAAACTATTTACTAACTACTTTGTCTAGAATTAATTTAGTTTTTATTATTTTAATAGATAAATCATAAATTATCTAAATAAAATTTTTTTATATATAAATTTTATTACAGATTTAAAAATGTAGCACTTCTATCTAAAATTTTTTATTAATAAGTAAATCACTTTTAAACTTGTAATAAAGTTGTAGAGCTCATTAAAGTATATCTAATGATAATAAAAATATTAAAATCAGTCTGGTAGTTCTTGAAAAAATTTTAAAAAATATTTTGCTGATATATAAAATTTCTTTAAAAATAATTAATTTTTTTAAAGAGATTTTATATAGTTAGCAAAATATTTTTTAAAGATTTCTCAAGAACTATCAGGCTGATTTTAATATTCTTACTACTATTAAATATATCTTGATAAGAGAAATATTATTTATCACCTGATTATTTTTTATCAGAGACTCCTCTCCTCTTAATATAAAAAACAATCAGATTCTTATATATAATTTTAACTTTTTTTACCCCTTCCTCTAAAAAATTACCTGATTTTTGTCACATCTCTAAGCTTTACAACTTTTGTTATAAGCTCAAAAGTAATTTATTTAGTAAAAAAAGATTTTAGATAAAAGTATTCTATTTTTAGATCAATATTAAAATTTATATAAAGAAATTTTTGTTTAAATAACTTGTGATTTATTTATTAATTATTTTTTTTCTATTAAAGTAGTTGTTTAAGGGCAGTGTTATTTATCATCTAATTATTTTTTATTAGAGGCTTATCTCCTCCTCCCCTTTTAATATAAAAAAAAAATCAGGTTCTTATATATAATTTTAATTTTTTTTACTCCATCCTCCCTAAAAAATTACCTGATTTTTGTCATGTCCCTAAATATATATATTATTAGAATAAAATTAAATACAAAACTTTTTTATTTTATAATATATAATTTTTTTAAAGTCTAATACAAACTTATAATTGTAACTATTAGATTGTTTTTCTCTTATTTTTATATTTTTTCTCTTTTTAGTATTAGTATTAATATTTTTTTTCACTTTTTTATAAAAAAATATTATCTAATTAATAATATTCTATTGTAAAATGATAGTCTAACAAAGTCTTTTAGATTAAACTTATTTTTGATACATTAACCTGATATAGTTGGTTATTTGTAAGTACTTTTAAAAATAACTACAGAATATTAGATCCTAGATATTATTTGTTATTCAAGATAATTTTTTGGGTTCTTAACTTTAGCCAATCCTCATAATACTTTTTTATTTTTAGAAATTTACAATTTGATTAGCTAATAAATATGTGATATTATTTATTAGATCTGTATATATAGACTACAATTTATTTAATATATGTCTTTAATTAATATGTTTCTTTTGATTTCTAATTTTATAAAAAGACAAAAAAAGTAAGTTTGTTTATCTACTTTTCTACTTTAACTACACATATAAATTTTTAATATGTTTGATAATATCTGTATCAATTTTTTTGCCTCTATCAATATTCTATATAACAAATATTTTGAATTTTTTTTATATGAGAAATGGTTACTTACTTACTTTGTTTCTTATATAATTGATAATTACAAAAATGCTAATATAAAGATAGCCTATTATGCATATTATAATATATTACATATCATAAAAAAAGATTTGCACATATTAGAAAAAGTTCACAATATTGTCCAAGAGTTTTTGAACAACAAAAAAGTAAATATAATAAAAATATTAAATTTAAATAAATAGAGATTTTTGATCAAGTACTTGTATCTTATTGTGTTTATCTTGATAAGAGTAGAGCAACTTTTATTCTTGCAAATACTGAAATAGGTATATTTACTATATTCATCTTGGTAAACCTTATAGAGTATATCAATAAAAGTTTTTAGTAAAAATACTAGTTCTTGATAAGAAATGTATATACCTTTGTATACAACAAAAACTGATTAATAATATATTTTTGCATATTACTATTTTATTTTGATTTTTATTTTGTTATGCTTAAATTATATATATCACCTACAAGAAATTTCTTTTTCACATGATGATCATCTGATCTGTATAATATTATATGTCGGGGATGATGCTGAAATTCACGTGATCACATGATGATCTTCTGTATAAACACCTAGCATTACTATCGCCATTGGTGTTAGAGTTAGGGTTAGGGTATGGAAGGTTTTTTGGTTTGATTTTACATATATTACATCTAATTCCACTAGGGTAATTAAAATATGGTCATACCCAAACTCTAACCCTAACATTAACAGCGAAATTTTTTAGTTGGTGATGCTAGAGTTCTATAAACACTTTAGGTTTGTTTATATGGAAGATCATCATGTGATCACGTGAATTTCAGTATCATCCGATTTCAGCATCATCCCCAACATTATATTTATCAAATTGATATATATAAATCATTCTTTTTTTTAACTTTGATCGAAAGAATCTCAACAACCATTTATTAAATTTTGATATTTTTTTTGATTCTATGTATTTTTAAAATTTGAATAAAAAAAAATACATTGAATTTCATTAGGTGATTGTTGAGATATCTTTGATTAAAGTTTAAAAAAATTTATCTATCAATCAAAAAATAAGCTATGACAAAATATCTCATGACTTTGATCAAAGATATTTTGACAACCATCTTATGAAATTTAATATACTATTTTTTATTTAAATTCTATAAATCTATAGAATTCAAATAAAAAAAATATATCAAGTCTTATTAGGTGATTGTCAAAATATCTCCAATCGAAGTTAAGAGATATTTTGTCACAACATATACTGTATTTTGATTAACAGTTGGCTTTTTTTTTAATCTTTGATCTTATTATATTAAAATTGATATATTTTTTATTATTTGAATTCTCTGGGTTCATTGAATTTAAATAAAAAAAGTACATCAAAATTTATTAGATGGCTGTTGAAATATCTTTAAATAAAGTTTTAAAAAAGTTTATATTACCAGGTACTTTTTACCAGGTACTTTTTATTTTTTTTTTACTATAAAATAATTTTTTGGTTTTTTTTTTTTAAAAAAATAAATTTATACTAGATATATACATACATATATTTTTGCTAACAAATCCCAAACCCTCAAAAAAACAAATTGTTTTTGTAAAAAAATTAAATTAACAAAATAATTTTGATTTTTTGTAAATATATTATATATTACTATAAGGACATATATTTTTTGTTAATTAATAAAATTTTTAAGATATTAATTTAGACTTGAGTTTAAGATTTGGGACTGATAAACAAATCTAAACTATTATAGTTTAGAATTTAGACAACAAGTATAATATGTTAAGAAAGGTAGAACTGCTCTCTTTCTAGTTAATATAAATATTACTCTAATATACAACACTAAATATACCTAAACTACTACTCTAACTGTGGTAAGACAATGATTAAAATATAGAAATACTTGGTCTAAATACTAAGATCAATTAGAGCTCTAAACTATATCATGAATCTCTAATACAAGATCATAGAATTAACCAAGATTATACCAGAAAGTGAAACTTTAAGTTCATTCTAAAGATCCATATTATAAATACCAAAGGAAATGAGAAAACCTAGAAACCTGAAAAAAAAAAAAAAAGTTGGTATATTAAAAAAAATATATAAAAACAACAAAAGAAGTGAAATTCAAAAAATGTCAAAATGTTGAAATATGGTAGATAAAATTTTTTTATATAATCACCAATCTTAATCATAATTGGCTGATCATGAACAATGATAGTTAACACTGTAATATCAAGATGTATTTGCTATTAGAGATGGACAAAAATTTTATATATTCTTATATATTTTTACATATTTTAACATATTTTTACAAGAATTTTACTAACTATAACTAGCAGTGATCATCACCAATATATAATTAGCCAATAAAATTACAGGATCAGGTGTAACATGCAAATTAATTTGTGTAACCAAAATAAAGATTTTTTTAAAAAAATGCCAATATCTCAAGAATTCGTTTATGTAACTACCTTCAACATTCTAACAAAAAAAATTCTTCACTAAATTTGCATATATCTAACACTTTACTAAAATTCCAAACCTTACCCTAACTCTAAAGTAAATGAAATGAAATATTTTTTTAGTTTATCGTTATTGGCTAATTATACATGGTGATAATCACCACCAGTTATTTTAAGTAAAAATCTTCTTACAAATTATGATAAAATCAATACACCAAGTTAAATATTTATTGATTATTTTTAAATTTTACAGCAAATTTCACTTTATCACATACAATAATGATAATTTAATGAATTTAATGATTAAGCATCATCAAGATTTTCTAAAACTAACCAACCTTCTTAAGTTTTTCCTTGAACACTATGTAGCTTGAATAGAAGATTCAATTACGGCTTCTTTATATATAATTTTGATCATTAGTATTAAAATTATCAATGTTTTCAATCGTCTGCATTACATTTTCTTCAAATTATTCTTCAAATTATCATTATTATTCTCCATATCATCAAATCCAATATTCGATACAATATTTTTACGTTAGAATTAGCTAGATTAGTTTGAACGATTTGATTGAGCCTATTTTTTTATTTTGAACAATATGATGTGAATTAATTCTTTCTTGTGCAATATGACATCGAATGCATGCTATTTTTGTTGCACGTTCATGTTAAGTTTGCTATGCTGTGGTGAATGGATATTTGCAATAAATGACCAGAATCTTTCGCTTTCAGCAGAAGTAGGTGGTATCGACATAATTCGTGTAGCAAAAACAGCTAATTCTGGCGCGATCGATCTTTTTATTATACGTAGTTTATTTGTAATTTATTACGTAGTTTATCTGTAATCGATGACTCTTAAATTACTTAATAATAAATTACTTAATAATCTGTAACGGTAATAATTATAATATGTAACGGTAATAATTTATAAGATATGTAAGAGTTAAATTTTAGCTATCGCTTACATAATATTACATTGCCCATCCTTATTTGCCATCGGGAACTGACATTTCTCCGATATTAATAAAAAAAAATCGGAAAATATCAGAGTATTAAATATTGCTAATTAATATCAGAAAATATCAGTATATTCTGATATTGCTATTGGTAATCCGATAGCAATATTTAATACACTGATTTTTTTTTATTAATATCAGAGAAATATCAGTTTCCGATATGGTACCGATATTTATCCGGTATTCTATATCCCGATATGGCTTTATTCGACCTGTGAAAGAAGCGAAAAGCCACTGATACTTCTGTCATCTCCTTAAAAAGACAACACATAACCTTGGAATCTTTCTTTCCTGAAGTTGATATCTCCTTGCGAATCAATAAATCTATGGATATCTTAGGCATAGTGAAGCAGGCCTTCTGTTTCTTTAATCAAAATACTATTGCCCAAGAGTCATCTCGTCCATATAAAAGTTCGAACAATTTGTTAGTAGATTCTAAGCCCAACATGAATGTTCCGAGAGAATCTGTTTATGATGCCGAGATGTACAGAATACTTTTTAATTGGCTCACTAAAGTATATCATTACGAAATTATTGGACAGTGGCACTTAGAGCAAGTTGGTGAAGATGGGGGCCACCATCATCTATATTGTGATCTTACGATAAAAAAGAAGGAAGACTCCAATCCTATAGCCATACTTGAGCTGGTGGCCACTGCAACCCCGCAAAAATTGGATAAACACTTCGAATAGGTGTATAAATATGCTAATAAACTTTGCCCCTCTGAGGTTTGGCTGATCCATTTCTCTCGTGAAGATGATATTACAAAAAAACCATATTGGCCTTCCGAAGAATTACAGAAGAGGGGGTTGAATGTCATACACTTTTGGCATGATAAGGGTTTCAAAAATGCCTTTATGAGCGCCAGAGTAAAAGACATTTCTGGTAATTTCTATGATATTATTAACCAACGTGTCTTTCCCTAATAAAATCTTTGGTTTATCATTAAGTGCTGGTGTACTCTTTTCTAATTGGCGACATTTAATAACTCTGAAGTATGTCCAGGATGCGAGCAAAAGCATAGTGAAGGGCATGTATTTGGTATAGTTGGCCATTGCAAAAATGCTTCTTAACTATGTTAAGTGTAGATCCTCACCCTATGAAAAAGAAATCAGTGCATTGCCTGAGAAGGTTTCATCGGAAACTCGGGCAAGTGTATCATCAGAAAATACAAAAACAAAATGTTAGTAAACAATCAACATCCCAAGCTCCAATTTCTACTTTGCCCGATGATCCTGAAGAGAAGCAAAGCCGAACAATTTTTTTATTTATTTTAATCTATTTGATGTAAAATTAAAATAAAAAAAAATTGTAGAATTTGATTAGATAGTTGTCGAGATATTTTATTTTAATTTCTAAATTGGCATATTAGATTGTCAAAACCCGATCACGAAATATAATTACATCAAGGTTAGAGCCATTTGGGTTAGAGTTAGAAAAATCTTATAGGTAAAATCATCTGCCCGACATTTTTTCTTAATGCACCAAAGTGGGTTTTGACCAGAGCTTCGACCCGGGTCACGAGTCGAAAATTGCTCTGATCCGGGTCAAACAGGTCAGAATTCAAAACCCCGCTAAAATGCGCAATTTACCTAATACTGTATAACTGTATGGGTAGAAGTTATAATTTACTAAGTAGTAAAGTTCTTACCCGGGTCGTCTGATCTGTGCAGGTCATTGTCATAGGTCGAAAATTGGCTTGTTATAGCTGTCGGATTCGATTAAGTTTATAATTCCTTCAAATTGATATATTGTATATAATTTAATATCCGGTGACTAATGTAAATATTACAAAACTTTAGTACGTGTAGTATGTATATATCTCTGGTTGAATACAGTAATATGATACTTCAAAGAATCGCTGGAAATACAATAATTGAAAAAAAATTTTAGAAAGCTTATCAATTCGAAAAATTACGAAACACTTAGGTGTTAGTATGCCTTCTATAAATCGCACTTTCAAAGATACGGATGTATTGAGAAACTTCCGCCATTTTACCAGGTGTTCCGGAATTTATAAAAACAGTTGTAATCTGGTATTTCCCGGAGCAGAAAATGAGAACTCAAATCACGAGCAAGGTCGAGAAATTTTTTAATACAAAATCGGAAAAATTCCATTTAAATATTTGAAGTACAGACTGCTCAGTGATTGCTCTCTATACTAGTTACACCAACCTTTAAGGATTATCTTAAAAAATTATGAATTTCTATTTGACCCGTTGACCCGGGTTATAACCCGGTCAAATACCTGACCCGCCCGGGTCGGTATTTTCTGACCCGGGTCAAAGCTCTAGTTTTGACATTGGTTTCTTGTGTTTTTCGTATTTTTTTTTTACTTTTTTTTGTTTCGTTCGAACCTGGCTTTAACGGATCCCTAAATTAGGTAATGATTATCATAATTTCTAAATTTGGGGGCCCGTTAAAGCCAGGTGAGTTTGGTATAAACTTGGAAATGATCTACATGCTGTATAAATTATCTTCTTGATATTTACATAACCCACTAACTATTACTGCATTAAAAACGTAACCCTAACTGCATCAAAAAAGTAATTCTAACGCACCTGGTTTTAACGTTCCCCTAAATTTGGCGGTGGGTACATAGATGTACCCGATATAAATCTGCTAAAAAATGATTTACACATTCTAAAAATTCTAAAAATGGGTTTTCAGCATATTATACGTTCTTTTAATGTGAAACCAACATTTCAAATCAATAAAGCTCCAAAAGATATTAAATTAACTCAAACGAAAACTTCTCAAAAATTAATGTCAAAGTTATACAAGACTCGTAGAATATTGATAAAACGAACGCAATCAGTACATAAGATATCTAAACTAAAGAAGGAAATAAGAATGCAAAAAAAAGATAGTTCAAAACTCGACCAAGTTATTGAACTTGAGCGTAAAAGATTAAAAGAGGTTAGTAAAAAAATTTGGGAAAAACAGCCACCACCGCCACAATATCTCTATAGTGACGCACGAACAGATCGAAAAGTTGAAAGATACATTATTGAATGGAAAAAAGTAAGTGATAATATATCATTAAGATTGATAAAGATATTCTTGAGCTCAGATCACAACATTAAAGTCAAAAGCCATGGCCCTAAACAGGCATTTATGATATTTAAAGAGTTATTAAATAAAGGTCAATTAAGGGATGTACCTTTTTATGATATTCAACGACTTGCAGGATACTTTGCAAAGGTCCATCAACGTAATGCGATATTTGTATTGGAAGCCGCATTGGAACATGGGTTTCAGTTATCTTATTCCGATTATCATATGTTGATTGTTTTGTATAGAAAAACCAAAGATAGAGTAGGTGCAATTCGAACAATAGATGAGATGAAAAATCTAGGATTTGAGCTTACTAGTGAAGATTACTGTGAACTTCTACAGTGCATAATGAGTAATGGCGATGATATTTTACTTGCTAAAAAATATTTGAATGAGATGAAATCAAAGAATATCCATCTAAACTATAATGCGTACGTGGAATTAATTAATGGCTTTATTGAACACAATGATATAAGGGGGGCCGGACAATTATTTATTGATATGATACAAGAAGGTTTAGCGGCTCCAAATATTTTTATGCCTAATGATCAAAACTCGGATAAGCCAATGGAATCAAATAATTTGATAAATTGGGAAAAAAATCTTTTAGAACAAATTTATATTATATTTATTCAAACTTTTGTTCATCATGATAATTTGCACCAAGCCAAAAAATACTATGATAAATTATTAGGCGTAAATTCAGCACCAGATCCTGAAATTGTAAAAATAATGATAAATTCATGCTTAAATAGAAGAGAAATTATATTAGCAAACCATTTGTTAAAACGTTCGGGTCTTACCCCGGAATCCCGACAGCCAAAATCCAGACACCAAAATTCCAACAGTACTAAAATTCTGACACCCAAAATCCCGACATCAAAATCCCATCACTTCCAAAATCCCGACAGCACCGAATCCCGACAGTACCAAAATCCCGACACCTACATAGATCCCGACGACACCCAAAATCCCGACAATGTCAAAACCTCGACAATGCCAAAATCTCGACAATGCCAAAATCCCGACAATGCCAAAATCCCGACATTACCGAGATCCCGACCAACGGTGCCAAAATCCTGACACTATCAAGGTCCCGACAGTGCCAAAATTCTGACTGGAGAGCATAGCGAGCTTTCATTCCGATTGGTTAATTTGTTGTTCATTTCGTGATTTTACAAAATCTGATTGGTAGACTTATGCTAAAACGACCCAAAATAAAATACAGTATTTCGCATTGAATAAAAGATTGAATGAAAGATACAGTTATTTAAAATTTTAATAATTACAATAATTTATTACTACTTTGATCTGATAATCAGTCATATATATAATCTGGTTAGATTTTAAAAAAAACATTAATTTAAATTTTAACAATTTATTAGATATGTGTGTAAAGAGCCTTGTATTAAAACTTAATCATTAACAATAAATAATAATAAGAAAAATGATGATTAAATGGGCTGCCGTCAATAGAAATCAAGCAGATCTACATTTGAAAAAAAATCAATACCTTAAATTTCACAGCTCATATCTCGATGAATTTTAGAGGCATCTTGATGATTTAACATTCAAAAGAAAGCTTAGATCATAATCTTTCTTTTGAATATTAAATCATCAAGATGCCTCTAAAATTCATCGAGATATGAGCTGTGAAATTTAAGGTATTGATTTTTTTTCAAATGTAGATCTGCTTGATTTCTATTGACGGCAGCCCAAATTAATATAAATAAATTAAAAAGAATAATCAACTGCAAGTAAAAATTACATATATAAAACTCAAACCTATTTTTAACAGTTTTGATATCTTTTGATAGTTTTTAGTCTTATTTTATCAGGAAATTTTGTAGATAGATTTAAATTGATATATATTAAATAATCAATATATAGTGATTAGAATATTAAAAAACTAGTTATAAATCGATATATATCAAAATTGATATATGGGGTGTTACTAATTAAAAGATCCTATTTTTACATATATTGCATTTTGAAATAACTAAGTTTAATCATTTGTTTTGATTTTCAGATTGATCCAGCATTCATCAAATTTTATAATTTTGATTTATTATAGATAATAGGTGGCTATCAAGTAATTTTATGATATACTTGGCCTTAGATAGTCTTGTGTAATTTTTTTATATTATCTTTATTGTTTATTAAACAAATTAACTTTTATTTATAATTAAAAAATGTTAATTATGTCAAATTTTACATAAATTTAATAAAAGTTTATTTTTTAAAAAATTGTAAAAATAGATACTTTTAATTAAAAACATTCTATATAATTAATTAAATTAATATATATTAATATTAGCATGTAAATCAATTATTATCAAATTTATTTAAATTAATTGATGATCTGAATAAGATTAGTACAATTACTATATTGGGGGGATAGCTAAAGCAAGGTGTATTAGAGATACTTTTTTGATGCAGTTTAGAGTTACTTTTTGATGCAGTAATAGTTAGTTGTTTATATAAAAATCAATAAGATAATTTGTACAGCAGGTAGATTATTTTCAAATTTATACCAAACATACCTGGCTTTAACTGACCTCTATATTGGGACAATAGTAAATTTTGAAGATAAGTACAATATTAATTTTTATTATATGCTAAAATCTGAGCATAGTCTAATAAAAAATATTTTTTTATTAAATTAACAACTAATATCAATTAATTAAAAGTTGTAGAGCTCACTGAGACGCATCTAATAGTAGTTAGATCATTCAAATTGGTCTAGTGTATACTGAGATATTATTAAAAAACAATTGGCTGACTATATAAAATTTCTAGTTTGTTTATATAGAATTTTATATAGTTGGCCAATCATTTTTTAGTAATATATCAGTATCTACTAGGCTAATTTGAACAATCTAACTATTATTAAATATGTTTTAATGAGCTCTACAACTTTTAATTAATTGACATTGGTTGTTACTGTATATTCCCAAAAATAAGCTACTCTGAAAATAAGCTACCCTTTGTTTTAACCAAAAAATCTAAAAACTTG